TGTGTGAACACTCAAATTTTTCAGATCTCAATCTCTTCACATTTAAAATGAGATCTTTAGGAAAATATTCTTTGTTTTCTTTAATAATGACTTGATTGAGCTATAAGCCTTAAAATTCACCCTTTTAAAATGTACAAATCAAAGTTTATTCACAGAGTTGTGCAACTATCATTATCATGTTATTTCAGAATATTGTCATCATTCCAGAAAGAAACTCGGTGCCCATTAGCAGTCATTCTCTATCCCCCTCTTCTGCCAGCAATGGGCAGCCATAATTTACTTTCTGTCTCAGGGGATTTACCTACTCTGGATATTTCATGTGAAAGGAATCATCCAATATTTGGTATTTTGTGTCTAGCATCTTTCACCTAGCATAATGCTTTCAAGGTTCATCCATGTTGCAGCATGTATCGGTACTTCTTCTTTATTGCTGAGTAATATTCCATTGTGTGGATATACATTTTATTTGCCCATGCATCAGTTGATAGACATTTGGGCCATTTCCACTTTTTTGTTATAATGAATAATGCTGCTATGAACATTTGTGTACAAGTTTTTATATGGACATATTTTAAATTCTCTTAAAAATGAAACTAGCTGGTCAGAATTAAATTGTTGGAGCATAGGGCAACTCTATTTTTAACATTTTGCAGAACTACCAAATGGATTTCAAAAGTGGCTGCCTATTTCACATTCCCACCAGCAAGGTTTGAGAGTTCAATTTCTCCACATCCTTGCTAACACTTGTTTATATTGTTTCTTTAAAAAAAAAAAAAAAGGCAGCTATCCTAGTAAGTATGAAGTGATACTATATCCTGTGGTTTTGACTTGCATTTCTCGAATAATGCTGAGCATCTTTCATGTGCTTATTGGCCATTTGTATATCTCCCTTGGAGAAATGTCCATTCAAATTCTTTGCTCTTTTTAAAAATTAAGTTGTAAATTATTTACATATTCTAAGTAAAACTCCCTTATCAAATATATAATTTGCAAATATTTTCTTTCACTCTGTGGTTTGCCTTTTTACTTTTTGGATTGTATCTTTTGGCACAAATATTTTTAATTTTGATAAAGTCCAATTTATCTCTTTATTATTTGATTGTTTGTGCTTTTGGTGACATATTTAAGAAACCATTGCCTAAGACAGGATTACAAAGATTTATGTTTTCTTCTAAAAGCTTTGTAATTTTAGCTCTTACATTTAGGTCTTTGATCCATTTTGAGTTAAATTTTGTTTATTTCTAGCATGTATCTATAAGGAGAAAAAATAAAAACAGATTTGTATGTGCTGTGAGGTAGGAATCCAACTTCATTTTTTTGTATGTGGATATCAACTGTCTCAACATTATTTACTAAAAATACTGCTCATTTTCCATTAAACTGTCTTGGAACCCTTGTCAAAATCAACTGATCATAAATGTAATGATTTAGTGCTAGACTCTTTATACCATTGATCCATATGTGTAGCCTTATGCTAATACCACAATTGTCTTGATTATTAGTTGGCCATAAGTTTTGATATCATGAAGTATGAGTCCTCTAACTTTGTACTTTTCAGAGTTGCTTTGAATGGGCAATGTTCTTTAAGTTTATTTGACTCTAACTTCTATGAAGTAAGCATTTAAGAAGAATTTATCATGTATCTGAAACTGACCTGTGTGTGTATCTCATTTAATCATCACAAAAACCCTGTAAGTTAGTATTAGAATATTATTAGTTCATATTTTTAGCATCTCTTGTGTGGCAGGCATTGCAGATACAGAAGCTAGGAATGCTAAGATGCAACATGATAACTGGTTTTGTTATTTTTTGTGAGTATTTTTGAGACAGATCTCACTCTGTCACCCAGGCTTTATTGCAGTGGCCTGATCTCGGCTCATTGCAGTCTCTACCTCCTAGACTCAGGTGATCCTGCCACTTCAGCCTCCCAAGTAGCTGGGACTACAGGTACATGCCACCACACCCAGCTAGTTTTTTATTTGTTGTAGAAAGTAGGGGTCTCCCTATGTTGCCCAGGCTGGTCTCGAATTCCACCTGCCTTGGCCTCCTAGACTCAAACAATCCACCTACCTTGGCCTCCTAGACTGTTGAGATTACAGGTGTGAGCCACCGCATCTGGCCCTCATGATATCTGTGATAACACACAAGAGGGAATTGAGGCTCAGAAAGGTGAGAGGCTCTTCCAAACAGCCTGGATGAATTAGAATGCAATTCTTTTAACTCCAAGTCCTGTAGTGTTTCCACAACAACAAGACTAATAGGTGGTTCCTTTTCTGCAGTTCTCCAGCTTCTGCTACACTTTCTCTCTGACCTGGGCTAGGTGAGTGGCCACCTGAATGGTATGAGGGAGAAGATAAATACTGGATCTTACAGCATTCTCCATTCGATGGTAGATCATTCAATTAAATATTCATTTAAAGAATATTTCTTAAAGGCCTCCTACATGCCAACAATTAATGATATACTCCAGACCAGATGATACCACTGCCTTCATGAAGTTCACTTTCTTTCATTAGAACCATGGCATAAGGAATTTCCTAAATAATACAATAATTATAAAACATAATTGCAGATTGCTATAAAGAAAAAGAAAAATGTGCCATAATTCAGAAAACCAGAAACAACTACTTGAGACAGGGGTTTCACAGAAAGCCTCTTCAAAGAGTTAAAATTTTGTCAAGTTATGAAGAATAAGGGAGAATTTGCCCTATCAAGAGAGAGTATTGCAAGCCAAGAATGCACAACAACAAAGTCCCTGAGACAGGAAAGAGCTAAGTGTACCCTAGGAATCAATAGAAAGCTAATGTGACCAGAGTATACTGAGGACAGGTAACCAGGCAGTGTGTCACAAGCGTTATTCAAGAGCTGATTTACCTAAATTCCAGTGGAAAACCATTAAATGATTTTAAACCAAAGACTGTTGTAATCTCATTTACAATTTTAAAAGCTCACTCTGGCCAGTGTGTGTAGAATGGATTTAGCACATAGGGCAAATAAAAGTAGAATCAGGAAGTCTAATTAGGAGGTTACTTCAGCTGCCAAAATTAAAGGAGGGTGCCTTGACTACATTGGCACTAGCGGAAATAAGTGGAGAGAGCCAGACATGGCGGCGCATGCCTGTTGTCTCAGTTACCTGAAGGCTGAAGTAGGAAGATCACTTGAACACAGGAGTTTGAGACCAGCTTTGGCAACATAGTGAAACACTATCTCAAATTTAAAAAGAAAAAAGAAAGAAAAATAAATCAATATATGTGAATAGACTCTCTATATACTTTGGAAGTGAATTAACTGGTTTACATTCAAGTTTCTGGCTTTAATAACTCACTCCATAGTAGCACCATTTGCTGAAATGATGGAGAGTAGAGATGAGAATATATAGGCAAAAATAAAAATTTTAAAAGTCTTCAAGAATTCTATTTAGACATGTTAAGTTTGAAATTCCCAGAAAATGCCCAAATGGCAAAATCAATAGGCATTTAGGTTAAAGGTCAGGGTCTTCCAGCAATAGAAGCAGCTGAGAAAGAGGGCTTACTATCAAGGAAAACTGGCTCTTCAGGTGTGGGGCAAGTGTCTGATAAAGAAGGCCATTATTTTGAGGAGCACAGAGAAACAAGAACCAACAAGTAATGTTGCTGTTTCAGCTCATCTTAGCAAATATTTTCTGAGTGGCCCTAGGGACCACCATGAGGCTACTCCCAGGTAGTAGAAAGAGGCGTGAACTTGAAGAGAGAAGACATGGTTCAAAGGCTGGTTACTTTGGCAAAGTTTAAACTTTGATCTTTGTTGAGTGGTTGTGAAAACTAAATGGAATAATTCACATGAAAGAATCTGGCTATATAAATATAGGTTAATATTATACATTGTGGGAGTTAGCATTATTATGAGAAATCAATATGGATAATACTGCTTTTTTACAAATAACCAATGACTTTGGTGATGGCTTAACATAACCAGAATAAATTTAGTTTACCCCAGTCAGGCAAGCTCTTGCATTACCCAGGTGAAGCAGATCAGGACAAACTGACATAAAGGAGACTGATGGGAGGCTGGGCATGGTAGCTGATGCCTGTAATCCTAGCACTTTCGGAGTCTGAGATGGGTAGATCACTTAAGGTCAGGAGTTTGAGACCAGCCTGGCCAACACAGTGAAACCCTGTCTCCCCTAAAAATACAAAAATTAGCCAGGTGTGATGGCATGCATGTGTAATCTCAGCTACTTGGGAGGCTGAGGCACGAGAATCACTTGAACCTGGGAGGCAGAGATTGCAGTGAGCCAAGATCATACCACTGCACTCCAGCCTAGAGGACAGAGCAAGACTCCAACTCAAAACAAATAAATAAAAAGGAGACTGATGTGTGTACACTGAGCTCCCATGTGGGTGTTGCTTTAGCAACACCCCTCAGAATCAATAAGCCTCAGCAGATCTTTACCCCGATTGCTTGTGACCATGACTAACCGCCACAGCTTGATTACAATGACTGCAATCTCCTTGCCATTGCATCTCAAATATATCAGTGTTATCGGTACATCTTGTACCTTCTTTAAGAGCCCACCTGTCAGCATTAGTTCACAACCTGTTAATATGTGCCAGTGAAGGTTTATGTTTTGTCCTATACAATCACATAGACTTGCTGATTCAACAAAATAGCTTTTTTTTAAAACCTCTTCACTCTACCCATGTAGAACAACTCAATTTTTTCTCAAATACCGTGTACTTTAACATTGCCAAACCTTTGTTCTTACAAAGATTCCTTTGGCCTAGAGTGTCCCCACTACTCATCCTCCTGCTGATCTGCTATTTATACTTATGAATAAATGTAGGCTCAAACAAATGTAAATTATCATTTCTTCTTAAAACACTAGATGAAATTCATTACATCCTCATCTATATTTTCATTTCACTCTATAATTCCAATACACTTATTCAGCAAACATTTATAGAATGCCTGCTGAATGCCAGAACTCTTTTTAAAATTTTTCTTTCTTTTTTTTTAAATCAGGGGAAATCATGAACACAGTTCCCCACAACCACAAATTATGCAGTGGAGTTTCCCACATTTGGGGAAATTGCAGGGGTCAGCACATCCAGAGTGCAATGTACAAGCCTCGCCCTGAAAAACCATCGTTGTGATCATGGTATCTCCCCTGCCAGGTAAGTATGAGAATGTCAGAACTCTTTAAGATGCAAAAGACAGAAACCCAATCCAAACAGCTTAAACAAACCAGCTCACCATGTTTTCAATCTCACCCATTTTCCAATTCTACTTTATTTATAAATTAATATACTTATTCAACAAATATTTATAGAATTCTGCTGCATGTCATGACTCTAAGATGCAAATAACAGAAACTAAAATTCCAGTAGCATAAACAAACTCACTCACCTAACTAAAAATTGTAAGAAAAAACATGATGCAATCTCAGGCTGATTAGGCTAAGTTCCCTAGAAATAGAGCCTGAGAGAGGGATTCTTATGACAATGATTTATTAAAGGAACACTTTCAGGAAAAGATGCATGAGGGAAATAGGATAGATAGTACAAGGAAAGAAAGCTAAGCAATGATGCAATCTCATCTGGAGACTAGCTTCAACCTTTTCCCATGGGGAGATCTGGAGCATAAACTATATGCAGAGTTTATCCCACCTCGAGGCAAAGGGGTCTGCCTTTCTTTTGCACCTGCTTTCCATCAGTCAAGAGCTGAGTCCTATGGTATGGGAGAGTGTTGTGCTTATCTTCTTGGTAAGGAGATCTGAGTGGGACACCAATAGCATCCATGTGGCAGGCATAATGGCTGCCAGTATTCCATTCAAATGAATCTTGTGTAACCCAAAGGAAACAGCTATCCCTTAAAGCTCTGACTGTACTGTTCCAGGGAGAACTCTGATGTGAGCAACTGTTTTGCAAGACAGTTGAGTCAGAGCCAATCAAATCATATAGAGTGGGTGCTTCACTGAGAGGAAGGTTGTTTTAGCAAAGAAGCGGGAAGAAGGATGGGTAGATAAAGGCAAATGTCCACTCTATCTACAACATATCAGGCACTTCTAGAGGCAAGGGATACAATGAGGAACAAAAAATACACATCTCTTCTTTCACGGAACACACCAGTTTGTTTAATGCAAGACAGACCAACAAGAAACTATGACAAAGTCAGATATATGCTTTAATAGAGAAAGTATAGATTGCTATGAATGAATCATATAGGAGGAGTCATCTTACTCTTCTCAAGGGCTGTATCTTGCCAGCTTTATATCTTCAGTGCTCAGGTAGTACCGTTAAGTATTGTAAATGCTCAATAAATGAGCACATTCAGCTTGATGTGTGGATTCAAGTGTCTAAGGAGGAAATAACCCTCTCTAGGAATTGCCTTTTCAGTCAGTTTATGAGCCATGAAAGAAAATCACTAACTACTTTATGGCCACATCATGCCTTTAAGTAGAATTTTTATTATATCTGGCTCTTAATGACTTTTTGGCTATTCCCAAGTTCTTTTTTTTTTTTGTATTTTTTATTGCATTTTAGGTTTTGGGGTACATGTGCAGAACATGCAAGATAGTTGCATAGGTACACACATGGCAGTGTGTTTTGCTGCCTTCCTCCCCTTCACCCACATTTGGCATTTCTCCCCAGGCTATCCCTCCCCAGATCCCCCCGCTGCTGTCCCTCCCCATTCCCCCCAGTAGACCCCAGTGTGTAGTACTCCCTTCCCTGTGTCCATGTGTTCTCATTTTTCCTCACCCGCCTATGAGTGAGAATATGTGGTATTTCATTTTCTGTTCTTGTCAGTTTGCTGAGAATGATGTTCTCCAGATTCATCCATGTCCCTACAAAGTACACGAACTCATCATTTTTGATTGCTATATAATATTCCATGGTGTATATGTGCCACATTTACCCAGTCCAGTCTATCATCGATGGGCATTTGGGTTGGTTCCAGGTCTTTGCTATTGTAAACAGGGCTGCAATGAACATTCGTGTGCATGTGTCCTTATAGTAGAACGATTTATAGTCCTTTGGATATATACCCAGTAATGGGATTGCTGGGTCAAATGGAATTTCTATTTCTAAGGTTTTGAGGGACTATTCCCAAGTTCTAAAACCATTATCAAAGTGTTGATTCGCCAACTTTGAGAATATTTAATTTCTCTTATTTAATTCAACATATAATACACTGGTCATCAAACTTGTTCTCATTGAAGGCCAAGTGTTTCAAACTATGAAAATAAATAGACCTTTGTGCCAGTAGGCAAGACTTAAAACTATTGCCTAGTAGGGATAAATGTTATGATGTATAATGGTTAAGGAAACCAAATGCATTTTCTGGTTAGCTTCTAGGGGAATTGCAGATTTTAAGATATGCACTTCATCATATTCTGAATGTCACTGAATCTAAGGCCAAGAGGACATAAGTTCACAGAGAGAAGCCTTTACAGCAGTGCCCTGAAGACAGGAGCAGCAAACAGCTCTTGATTTTTATCTTTTTCTTACCCTTCACATCTAGTTCCACCTACAGATCAAATCTCCAAACCATCATCCTAGGCTAAGTCATCTGCATCTCTCACATGAACTGACCCTCATCTCTCACCTGAGAGAGCCCCCTAACTGGCCTCTTGGCCTCTATCCATTGCATCCTTCCTATCCATGCTCCACATAGTAGACAGAGTAATTTTTTGAAATTGTAAATTTAATCATATCTGCCAAGCCTCATCTCTGCCCTATTTAAAATCCTGTCTGGCTCTGCTATTGCACTCAACATAGAATCTAGACCCTTTATAGTGTCCTACATGAGTTAACCCAGCTTCTCCTCTCTTCTCTCATCTTTAAATATTTTCCTTCAGTTTTATGCACACTGGAGGGGGAAGGCCTCGACAAACATGCCTCCCCTTGCTCGACATATCTAACTCCATCTCAATTTTCAATCTTGTTTTAAAAGGCAGGACCTTAGAGAGGCTCTCCCTCTCTTCGTGGTGGCAGACAAGAGAAGAGAAACTTGGGCAGGGAAACTCTCCTTTATAAAAAACCATCAAATCTTGTGAGACTTATTAACTACCATGAGAACAGCATGGGAAAGATCCACCCCCACGATTCAATTACCTACCACTGGGTCTATTCCACAAGACATGGGAATTGTGGGAGCTATAATTCAAGATGAGATATGGGTGGGAATACAGGCAAACTATATCAGATACATTCTTAGAAGTGGGATGGGTAGGTCAAAAGGAAGTGGGCATATGCTGTAATGAGAATTATCTCACCTTAAAAAAAAAAAGAAAAAGAAGTGGGATGGGCAGGTCAAAAGGTAAATGCAGATATAATTTTGCATTATTCCCTTTCATAGTAAGTACGCCTGCAATTCCCACCAGTCACATATAGAAGACCCTGTCCTTTCGGAGTCTTGCGAATAGACTATGTTGTCAACCTCTTAAATTTTTGCCAGTAGGTGAGAAGCAGTATCTCAGTGTAATTTTAGCTTAAATTTATATTACTATGAGTGAGGATGAGTATCTTTCCATATGCTTACGAGCCATTTAATTTTCATCTTCTGTGAATTGCTGGTTCATATACGTTTTAGTCTTTTCTCATATTGCTATAAAGACATACCCCAAACTGGGTAATTTATAAAGGAAATTCGTTTAATTGACTCTTAGTTCCACAGGGCTGGGAGGCCTTGGAAAAATTACAATCATGAATCATGATGGAAGGGGAAGCAAACATATTCTTCTTCACATGGCAGCAGGAAGGAGAATTGCTGAGCAAAGGGAGGAAATCCCATTATAAAACCATCAAATCTCATGAGAACTCACACACTTCCATGAGAACAGCATAAGGGTAACTGCCTCCATGATTCAATTTTTTCCCACTGGGTCCCTCCCATGACATGTGGGGATTATGGGAACTACAATTCAAGATGAGATTTGGGTGGGGACACAGCCAAGCCATATCAAAATACCTTGCCCATTGCTATCTCTGTAACTCATACTGTACTGGGGATTTTCATATATATTGTCTTAATTTGATCATAACTGCAACTCTAAAAGATAGGCATTATGATCCTAACTTGGTATTTCTTGAGTAAATGTCAAATTGTGAGGAGAACAGTCAGAACTCAAATGTCTGTGGACATTTCACTTAAAATATCTCTAAATATTAAGAAACATAAATGTATTCATAGTGCTACAGATTATATCCATCTCACTTACTCTTGACATATATTCTCCCCACAAGAGGTGGGCTCTATGTTTTCTACACTTAAATTTGGTCAGGGACTTGTAATTACCACAACCAATGGATCAGAGTGGAAATAATACAACATGGTTCTCAAAGCTAGGACATAAAAAGGATGCAGCTCCCACTGTCTCACACCATACACAAAAATTAACTCAACATGGGTTAAAGACCCAAATGTAAGAGATAAAACTATAAAACTCTTGGAAGAAAATATATAGTAAATCTTTATAGGTCAGGCAATGATTTATTAGATAAGACATCAAAACCACAAGCAGTTTTTTTAAGTGAGTAAATTGGATTACATTTAAATTTAAAATTTGTGCTGCAAACAAAACCACCAAGAAAGTAAGGTAACAACCCACATAATGGAAGACAATTTTTGCAAATTATGCCTCTGATAAGGGGCCTGTATACAGAATACGTTAAGAATTCTTTCAATTCAAAAATAATTCTGGGTACTGTGGCTCACACCTGTAATCTCAGCACTTTGGGAGGCCAAAGCAGGTGGATCACCTGACAAGTTGAGAGCAGCCTGGCCAACATGGTGAAATGCTGTCTCTACTACAAATATAAAAATTAGCTGGGTGTGGTGGTGCATGGCTGTAATCCCAGCTACTCAGGAGGCTGAGGCAGGAACCACTTGAACCCAGGAGTCAGAGGTTGCAGTGAGCCAAGATTGCATCACTGCACTCCAGTCTGGGTGACAGAGCAAGACACCATCTCAATAAATAAATAAAGAAATAAAAATACAATCCAATTTTTTAACATAGGCAAAGGATTCAAATAGGAATTTATCTAAAGAAGATATGTAAGTGACCAATAAGCATATGAAAACAGGCCCAAGGTCATTAGTCATCAGAGAAATGCAGATTAAAACCATGAGACAGTATTTCACATTCACTAGAAGGGTGGTAATCTGAAGGAGAGACAATAATAAGTGTTGGTGAAGAGGCAAAAAAAACTGGAGCCTCAAACATTGTTGGTAGGAATGTAAATGTTGCAGCTGACTTGGAAAACAGTTTGACAGCTCCTCAAAATGCTAAACATACAGTCACCTGATGATCCAGCAATTCCACTCCTGTAGGTACATACCAAAGAAATTTGAAAACATATTTCCACTCAAGAACTTGTACATGAATGTTCATACCAGCATATTCATAATAGCCAAAAAGTAGAAACAATTCAAATGCTCATCAACTGATGAATGGATAAATAAAAAGTGGTATAGCCATACAATGGAATATTATTTGGCAATAAAAAGAAATTAAGTTTTGATACCTCTTATAACATAAACATTAAGAATATTATGCTAAGTGAAAGAAGCAAGTCACAAAAGACTACATATTGTATAATTCCATTTTCTTATAATAGCCAAAGTAGGCAAATCCATAGAGATGGAAAGTAGATTAGTGATTGCCTAGAGCTGGGGAAAAGGGTGAGGAAAGTATGGGGTGTGACAACTAATAGATATAGAGTTTCTTTTAGGGGACAATTAAAGTATTCTAAAATTAGATTGTGGTAGTGGTTGCACAACTCCATGAATATACTAAGAAACATTTCATTGTACACTTTAAATTGATGAATTATAAATTATACATCAGTAAAGCTGTTTTTCAAAAAGAAAGAACATAGTTTTTACTTGGCATTTCTTTTTCAGGTTGCTTGTCTTTGGACACCAATCACTTCATCATATTATGAAGAAGCCCATGCCTCGTGGAGGAGATACCCATGTAGAGAGGAACTGAGACCATTCATCAATGGCTGGCATCCACTTGCCAGGTTTGTGAGTGAATCACTTTGGAAGTAGATCCTTTAGCCTTAGTCAAGACTTCATATGACTATTGTCCAGCCAACATTTTGACTGCAACTACGTAAGAGACCTAAGACAAAACTGACCATTCAAGCCACTGCTGACTTTCTGACTACAGAAACCATAAAAATTAATAAATAATTATTACTGTTTTAAGTCATCAAGTTTTGGGGTAACTTATTATGCAGCATTAGCTAACTAAAACATAAAGTATAATATCGTATTAGATAGGGCTCATCTTGTTTCAGTTTGCACCATGGTGCTAAATAGAGTCATCAAATGTTTGTAAAACAAATCTCCATAGATGGAATTTGCAAAGGAAATGAGAACATATTCTCAATGAATATATTACTTCTACTCTTAATAGTGTAAAAATGAGTATTATATATATATGTGTGCGTGTATGTGTGTGTGTATGTGTATACAGTGGGAAGTTAATGTGAAAGAGATTTGAAGTGCTTTTCATTGGTACTAAAATTAATGGCTTGGAGTTTGGTGGAAACAGAGGGCAAGTGGTAGATGAATGGAATTTGCCGTGGAAGACCCAAGATTCTTCAAGTATGTACAGAGATGGCCGCAGTACTCAAAACCACTATAATATAAATCTGTGCCTTCCTGAAAAGTCAATCTCCAAGGCTCCATTAGTTCCCTGTTTTGAGTTTCACTGGTGAGTCAGCCTGCTAGTGCCATAGCTTAGAAGTGAATGTGAAAGGTACTCAGATGATGGAAAGAGCCCTGGACTTGGATTCCATCCTTGGCTGCTACTTTCAGAGCTTTGGGAAGAGGTGAGTATAAAGTGTCTTTGGAATATCCCAGTGGTCAGTACTTTGGCAGGCATTACAGAGGATGTTATATTTAGGCTGGATCTTGGAAATGAGCAGGTATTTGCCAACTGGCCAAGGGAGAAACCCAAGCCTCAGAATAGACTTGCCTCTATCTTATTGTTGTTGTTTACATGTGGTTATTCTGTTATCTCAACACTGTTGAAAATATTATCTTTGCACCATAGAATGGTCTTGCATCACTGTCAAAAATTTGACCACATACGAAAGTGTTTGTTTCTGGGGTCTCTATTCTATTCCATCGATCTATATGTCTTTCTTTATGCCAGTACCACACTGTGCTATTTAAGTAAATTGTGAATTCCAACTTTATTCTTCTTATTCAAGATTGTTTTGGCAATAAAAGAAGTCTACCAACCAATGAAAAAAAAATGCCTGGACTAGATTGATTCATAATTGAATCCTACCAGACATACAAAGAGCTGGTACCAATCTTACTGAAACTATTCTAAAAAATCAAGGAGGAAGAATTCCTCCCTAACTAATTCCACTAGACCTGCTGGTACCAAAATCAGACCATCCTGATACCAAAATCTGGCAAAGAAAACAAAACAAAAACAGAAAACTGCAGGCCAATATCCCCAGTGAATGTAGATGTGGAAATACTCAACAAAATACTAGCAAACTGAATCCAGTAGCACATCAAAAAGTTAATTTATCATGATCAAGTGGGCTTTATTCCTGGGATGCAAGATAGGTTCAACATATACAAATCAACAAATGTAGTTCACACATAAACAGAATTAAAAACAAGACTATATGATCATCTCAACAGACACAGAAAAAGCATTCAATAAAATCCAACATCCTTTCATTATAAAAACCCTCAACAATCTAGGCATTGAAGGAACGTACATCAAAATAATAAGAGCTATTTATGACAAACTCCCATCCAATATCATACTGAATGGGCAAAAGCTGGAAGCATCCCCCCTAAGAACTGAAATAAGACAAGATGCCCACTCTCACCATTCCTATTCCACATAGCACCAGAAGTCCTAGCAAGAGCAATCGGACAAGGAAAGATCGTAAAAGGCATCCAAATAGAAGAAGCAGGGGTCAAATCACCTCTTTTTGCTAACAGTATGATTATATATCGAGAAAACCCTAAAGACTTCACTGAAAGACACCTAGACTTGTTAAAAACTTCACTAACATTTCAGGGTACAAAATCAATGTGCAAAAATTAGCAGCATTTCTACACACCAATAAAATTTAAGCTGAGAGCCAAATCAAGAATGCAATTTCCTTTACAATAGCCACAAAAAAGCATAAAATACCTAGGAATATATCTAATCAAGAAGGTGCAAGATCTCTATAGGAGAACTACAAAACGCTGCTGAAGGAAACAATAGATGACACAAACAAATAGAAAAACATTCCATGCTCATAGATGGGAACAATCAATGTCATTAAAATGTTATGTACTACCCAAAGCAATCTACAGATTCATTGCCATTCCTATTAAATTACAACAGAATTTTTCACAGAATTAGAAAAAAAAAGTATTTTAAAATTCACATAAAAATTAAAAAGAGCCTGCATAGCCAAAGCAATCCTAAGCAAAAAGAATAAAGCCAGTGGCATCACAATAGCTGACTTGAAAGCATACTACAACGCTACAGTAAACAAAACAGAAAGGTGCTAGTGTAAAAACAGATACATAGACCATAATGGAAGAGAATAAAGAATCCAGAAATAAATCTGCACACATACAACCAACTAATCTTCAACAAAGTCAACAAAAATAAACAATGGTTTAAAAAACTCCCTATTTAATAAATTGTGCTGCAAAAATTGGCTAACCATATGCAGCAGATTGAAACTAAACCCCTGCCTCTTACAAAAATTAACTAAAGATGGATTAAAGACTTAAATGTAGGACTTCAAACTATAAAAATTCTAGAAGAAAACCTAGGAAATACTCTTCTGGACATCAGGTTGGGCAATGAATTTATGACTAAGTCCTCAAAAGCAAAGGCAACAAAAACAAAAATTGGCAATGGAGGCTTAATTAAACTAAAGAGCTTCAGCACAGCAAAAGAAATTATCAACAGAGTAAACAGACAACTTACAGAGTAGAAGAAAGTTTTTGCAAACTATTCATCTGAAAAAAGTTTAATATATAACATTTATAAGAACTTAAATCAACAAGAAAAAACTATTAAAAAGTGGACAAAGAACATGAACAGACACTCTCAAAAGACATACAACAAACTTATGAAAAACGCTCAATACCACTAATCATCAGAGAGATGCAAATCAAAACCATTTTGAGATACCATCTCACACCAATCAAAATGACTATTATCAAAATTCAAAAAATAACAGTTGTCGGTGAGGCTGCAGAGAAAAGGGAATGCTTATACACTATAGGAATGTAAATTAATTCATCCACTATGGAAAGCAGTTTGGAGATTTCTCAAAGAACTAAAAATAGAACAACCACATGACCCAGCAATCCTATTACTGTATATACACCCAAAGGAAAAATAAATTGTTCCGCCAAACAGACTCCTTCACTCACATATTTATTGCAGCACTATTCAAAATAGCAAACAAATGAAAACAACCAAGGTTCCCATCAATGGTGGACTGCATTTTGAAAATGTAGTATATATACATCATAAAATACTACATAGCCACAAAAGAGAATAAAATAATTTCCTTTGCAGTAACATGGAAGTAGCTGCAGTTCATTATTCTAAGTGAATTAACACAAACCAGAAAACCAAATATCACCTGTTCTCACTTGTAAGTAGAAGCTAAACATTGGGTACATACATCCCTATGGATGGGAACAATAGACATTGGGGATTCCAAAAGTTGGGAGAGAGGAAGAGAGGAAGGCAAGGGCTGAAAAAATATTGGGTACTAGGCTAACCAGGCAGGTGATGGGATCAACAGAAGCCCAAACTTCAGCATTACACAATATACCCTTGTAATAAACTTGCACATGTAGCCCCAAACCTAAAATAAAATAAAATATTATATTGGATATTCAGGGTTCTAGAGATTTTCTTTCAGATTTAGATTCAACAATCAGTTTTTAAATCCAATTATATCCAAAGCATTTTCACATATGATAGTTCATATCTGAAAGTTCATCAAATGAGGGAAGGCAGTATTCTACTTTGAGATGTGGAATTTTTAGCTATGAAAGGTTAAGATGTCATAGGTTTTTAAAAAATAACATAAAAACAAAATTCTCAAAGATTATGAGCAGGGATATCTTGCCTGGTTGATTGTAAGTTCTCAGTGAAACTTTATCATATTAGATGAAAACCGTAATTTAGATTGCAGTTCTGGCATTCCTGAACTGGAGTGTGAAAACCCAGATCATTTGACTTAGAGCTTCACTAGTGGGAAACCAGTACCCTGAGCCCTGCTATTTTCCCACACTATTTCAAAAATGTAAAGGAAACAATGAAGTACAAAGCCTATTTGCTCTAGTTGAACACTGGATAAGGGACATAAAAGACATTTTCTTTTCTTTATTTTGCTGTTATATCATAAATTGCATCATCATGATATTCTGTCAAAGGAAGAGTAGAGCAGAAAGTTATCTATGTAATCCACAGTAAGATCCACATTAACTGAGGAGACTATATTATCTAAACTTCAAAATTTTTTTATATTACTCTTTTTCTGGCAGAAACTAATAGAGTATGAACCTCACATTGAAACACTTAGCCTAAACAGTATAACTACATTTATGGGTCAATAAAAGAGAATATCTATAATCAACAGTGTTGGGCCAGGTGCAATGCTCACACCTATAATCCCAGCACTTTGGAAGGCCAAGGCAGGAGGATCACTTGAGGCCAGGAGTTCAAGACCAAGCCAGACAACATGGGGAGACCCCCGTCTCTACAAAAAAAAAAAATTAGGTAGATGTGATAGCACAAGTCTGTACTCCTAGCTAATCAGGAGGCTGAGGTTGGGAGGATTGCTTATGTACAGAAGTTTGAGGTTACAGTGAACTAATGTTCATGCCCTTGCAGTCCAGCTTGGATATAATAATAACAATAACATTGGTGGTCTGGTTACTCCACTGGAAAGGGCCACTGAAAATCTGTGACTTCACTCCTCAATTAAATTGCTATGGCTATCCATCTTTCTTATGATTCAAAAGTGATGTCTCAATTGTGTCTACTTCTTTCCCTCTCTTTTTTTAAGAACAGAGAATTTTGCAGAGGCATCTGTACAACTAAAAATTTTTTCAAAGATCTAAAGGTTTCCATAAGTGACACTCTAGGTTTATTCTGTAACAAGGCAGAGACATTTCTTGCTGTATTTATAAAGACAGCTTTG